CCCACCCCGCTACACCATCCATGCCCCACCGCCCCCGCCACCTCTGCATTTACCAGCAAACAAAAGCACGACGAGGGGCGCAGCTCGGCACCGCAGCGAATGCTTCAAAATGACCCGCGGGGCCCAGCGGCTCCTGTCCGGGGGCAGAAAGCAGAAGCACCCCGCCTCTTCCTGGACTGGCGACCCCCGCCCCGCCACGCCCCGCGCGTTGCGCCTCAAACCGCGGGGCTGGCGTCCTCCTCGGTGTTTGGCAGACTCTTGGCCGGTGAAATATGGCATGCAGGGGGCCTGCCCCGCTACGCCACGCCACGCCCTGCACTCGGTAACGACAAGAGTTATGACTTCATCTCTCTCGTCTTCATTTACTCGTCGCTACAGCCAAGCACTGAGTGCAAACATGGCCCGGCTGACGACACGAAACACAAAGAGAACACTTAGCTGAATTTTGTAGTGTTTTTGCGGTTTTGAGAAGACATTTCGGCATGATCTGGCCTTACTTTCGAGGAGCTGGCATGCTTCGGGAGCACGGAATCACCATCTCCTCGAAAGGGGTGGACTAGGCCGCCCCCGGCTGGGACCCTTCAACCCCCATCCCTCTACATGGACGGCCCCGACAAACCGCGGGAGAAAATAGGAGCGAAAGCAGTTTGACTTGAGTCATGCAAATTCCTGGCTGCTTCCTCTCCGCAATTACGTACAGCAGGGCACCGCACTGTGGCTGTCTCTCTCTCTCTCTCTCCCTCTCCCCCCCCCCCCCCCCCTCTCTCTCTCTCTCTCTCTCTCTCACACACACACACACACGCACGCACACAGAGGCTCGGGGCGTCGAGCGTCTCGGAAATTATTGGCGTGGGCCTTGTGAAAAGGGTTACGGCCCGGGGGAGCGCAGAGGAGATATGACGTGCTGAAACATGTGTATAATTAAGCAAGCTAACGTTCCCCTCCCCGTGCTATTTGTAGCAGCTCAGTCAAGTATGCGAAATGTACGCCGCTCCCCGCCCTGCCGCCCTGCCGCCCTCCCGCCCCAGGCGGCCCCGGGTGCACCGGCGTGGCGCGGCGGCGGTACAGTGACGTGACGGGCCCAACGGGGTCGCGCACTGTCCGTCCAGGAGCAGTGAGAGCACACTCTCTGACGGAGCCTGCCACGCTGTGAGTGCGCCAAAGACACACACTCAGGGTCCCTGGGTAGTGGCTATAGTGGTGGTGTAACCGAAAATAGGACTATTGCACCGGAACGTTCATGAAAAAAAAACTCGCTCTTGAGGGTTTTTCACGTTTCATTCAATGAATGTGCCTCGGCTCTGGTGTCACACACGAACAAGCGTATAGGTATACCATGACAACTCTCCGCCCATCCTCCCACAGGGAGCACCCGCCCCGCCCCGCCACGCCCGGAGGCACAGCCACACTAACCCAATTAACGGCAGCCACTGTCACACAAACTTTGCTTTCGCCGCCAAGAATCACGCATTTCTTTTCTACTTGTTGTCCTTATCCCCGCTGACTCCCCTTCTTCCCGTTCACCACCCTTGTCCTACTCTACAAACAGAAGTGTGTGATATTAGAACACTTAAGTGTTCTAATTAGAAGTGCGTGCCAAAATGTCACAAGGTAAAGTGCATGCCAGTCATGTCATACACAAAAGAGTGTGTGATAACCAGGTGATAAGATGACACACTGAGGGACTAGTACGCGCTTTTCACAATAAGTCATTTCCTACAAGTGACGTGCCTGTCACACGCTTTTCTACAAAGGCCACAACAATATGTATGTAACATTTTCCCACGAGCTTTCAGGTTTTCGAATGTAACGCACTTCTGTGGTTTGAAGAGTAACCATAAACCCCGTGCTCTGTACATGTACATATTTTTATTTCGTTTGTCAACGTTGAGAACCAAGCAATCGTCGCCAGCAGTTCATCTAGTGAAACATGTTCTCATTTCTTAGAATATTAAAGTATTTAAAACTATTTAAAACAAACACTGTAGTTGAAAACACCAACAGATTAGACGAACTGGGAACACGTTTTCCCGCGTTTTCCTGGCGTGTATTACGTAAGTAGATCTGTCGCATCGTGGACAAGTATTTATTTCATTCTGTTCCGTCCTGGGAAGCGGAATATTCTGCATGTTTTTGCTTTACCAGATCGTAAAATTGGGCGATTTTCGCGATAATCGGGGGCAATTTTGGCAATCAAACATTTACTTGTTAATTTAATTACAAAATTAAAGTTCAATCCGGTCCACCATGCCGTCGTCTATGAACAAAGTTTAGGTGAGTCACCACACGGTCTCATTTTACCATGTTCCGCACTCGTGCGTATTTGCTGGTGTGTATGTTTGTGGGTCTACATGTATGGGAGATGGAGAGAGAGAGAGAGAGAGAGAGAGAGAGAGAGAGAGAGAGAG